GGAATACGTCTCTAAGGCAAAACATCGATGGGCTGCTCATATATTGAGAAGGACAGACGACAGATGGACATTAAGAACTCGGAATGGATCCCTCGCGAAGTAAAACGTCCTTGAGAGAGGCCACCGACCAGATGGGCTGACGTGTTCGTGGCACGGATGGACCAGCTGAATTCTCAGTTGATAACGAGTAATGGATCTGGACCTCGCGAACGTCGCCGCCGCAATTCAATACCAACATCGTGAATGACGCTAGCGTGAGACAGAAATGGATGGAAACAATGCTGTGGCCTGCACGACGAGTGAAGACAGGCCATCTAAGTACTTAGTACTAAGTACTAGATGTGAAAAGAGCTGCTGCCTATGAATTCACCTTACTTTGAGAATATCTTCGCCTTTATTTATGGAAAGAGTTGGGACAACCTTGCTACAGAGTCTCGCAAAAGAAATTTTTACTTCTTTGAAAGTTCTGCTTTTTTGAATGTGAGCATGGTTCACGACCAGGTGGTGTAAAAACAATTTAATGACTCAAAAACAATGGAACACTGAACTTTATAAAAAACTATTTCATCTACTACGTACGAATGAGGATTCTTTGGGTGCCCGGTGTGTGACAATGTGGAGGTATATTGCTTTTGAGATATTTGCTCTTATTTAGAAGTGTGATGTATCTCTAAAGGGCTAGTGAGGAGATCATCGCTTTCTGACTTCCGATCCCGTGGTTTGCATTGCTCGCACGGCCTGCTCCTTGATTTCTTGTTCCTAAATTATTAGTGTTAATTTAGAGATGTTCAATAGTTTCTAGAGTCTTTACCCTATTCTTCTTCTTCATAAGTTGACGCTTCTCCTCTCGAATCTCTTCTGCTTTCTCTTCACGCTTTCGCACCTCCTCATCCTCAGTTAAGCCATCACCCTAAAAACAACAAGTTTCTCAATTCTGTTACTGCGCCACCAATCTTTCAGTAAATCTTACCACTCCTATCTTTTTGCTGACGACGTAACTTCGGATGCGTTTATTTACTCCAGTTGGGCGAGAATATTTCAAAAGATGCATTAATCTTTCCTTTGGCGATAACGACAACTCTAACATCAGGATCACTTGGGCCCACTGGTGTAGGAAAATTAGAATCGCTTAATAGCTTGTAGTTTAAGAAGTTTCGAGCCTGACTTACCTGCCGATTCCATTCTTTTTTCGTTTCGAAAATGGCCTCGTAAGTTCTAGTCATCATAGCAATTAACAGATTGAATTGTAGAATTGAAACGAAGATTTCGAATATTAAAAATATTATCTGAAAAATATGCCAATAAAACCCAGTTCACGAGCATTTAGGCACCAAAACCAAAAATATTCATGTGCTTCCGTATGCTCTCTTCCAGTACCCCTGGGATCAATCTGAGCTGCTCACATGTTACTTTGTCCTTTTTCAACCCATTCAATGTCTGGGTTAGGGAAGTTTTAGTATAATGTGATAGTTAGTCGAGTATAACTGACCCTTGGGATATTTAAACTTCTGTGTCAGCATAGAGGAATGGGTCTACACAAAGAGAAGCACTTTAAGGCGCTTTATAAATTTGCTAGAGTAATTGGAATCGTTTCAATAATTTTTGAATGCCAAGTAATTTGCTTTCCACAATTATTATTCAATTCAAGGGAATGCATGCTGGAAAACAATAATACATGACTTATCACGTAATACTGACATAATACTGACGGCGGGTATGACATGGGTAAGGCGGAGTATCAACTGGATCGGCCAAATAACAACTCTCAAGTTTCCGAAGATGTTCGAACTACACTTCTCATAAAATAAGAAAAAGGTTTTACCAAAGCGACAGTTCACAGGTTGAACTGTCACAAATCATATCTACTTTTCCAAAGTTTTTTTTGAGATAGATTGCGGTGTACCCCGAGTTAGTATTAATTTTTGAGTAAATTATTATTCATCTATTCAAAAGTCCCAGTAGTAAAGTGTTGATGGAGTAAGTTATGTGCTGAAAGTCCTAAATTCCAAACA